ACTAGTTGTTACCCTGTCTGGCGCTTGGCATTAAGGGGCTAAAACAAGGACTGGTCGGCTTGGAGTCAGTATACTGTGTCTGAGTGGGGTATTCATGTTAAACTGCGGCATGGTATCTCAGTGAGCTAGCACTATAAATCGGCATCAGTCCGGACTAGTACAAGCAGCCACACAAACACACACACGTACATGCACGTCGCTATATATATAAGTGCAATAATCTTGGACGCGACGTTAAACTCCATTTCACCTCACCACCTCACAAGCTCATTACAGGACAGAAACAATTGAAGTGAGACAACTCGATGGGAAGGTGCAACATTGCGTGAATGTTGACAAGGCAATGGCCATGCATGTGAGGCAGTCCTGCCTTGCTGGGCCGTGTTGACACTCCGCTCACTAAACAATCCTTCAACTGTTGGATTGTTTGATTCTGTCTGCTTGAATCTTGATACAAAAATCTCTGTGTGGACTTGACACTTTGTCAAATAAAACCGCTCCGACGTCGTAGCTGTAAGTGGGACTTCAGAAGCTTGGGAATGTACATATAAGAAAACCCAGCACCTGCTGGCGGAGGGCAGAACAGCGGCGTTGGTGGTGTTTGTTTCATTGATTTGATAAGTGTATTTGCAAATTATGAATGTTTGTGATCTTAAATATTGAAAGATGTTGCCCTTGCTTAGGGACCGACCACAGTGGGGATCTGGGATTTAAGACAGAGTTCTTCTTTTCAACTGAGCAAGAGATTACTGTTAGGTGTTCGCCCATTACCCTGTCAGGCTCATTTTGATTGAGAAATTGATCTCTGTAATTAGTGTGTGTGTTTGTTTCTGTCCGTCCGTCCGTCCGTCCATCTGTCGGAGGAGGGGGAACCTGAGGATCTCCCATCATTTTCATGAAGAGATATATGTCTTTTTGTAGCATCCAAATCAAATTGTCAACCCCTTATGAAATGCTTAGTTTGAAATGACTGTTCCATGCACAGTTTTTGTTCATGATTGTGATGGACACACCTCATTCAAGGTAGTTTTTGAATATGAAATTGAATGTTATTCTGAATGGTTATTTGAATGAAGCCTTGTATTTCAGCTTGTGAGTGAGAGATTATGCTTCAAGACGGGCAATGTCACCTGTTACAAACAACACTGAATGATATGGATTATAGTCTGGCTGTGGCTGTGTGCCCTGTGTCTGCCCTGTGTCTGTCCTGTGTCCTCACCCTGTGTCCATGCCCTGTGTCCCTGTATCTATGCTCTTTGTCTGTCCTGTGTCTGTCCTGTGTCCTCACCCTGTGTCCATGCCCTGTGTCCCTGTATCTATGCTCTTTGTCTGTCCTGTGTCTGTGCCCGTGCCCTGTGTGTGTGCCCTGTGTCCATGCCCTGTGTCCCTGTATCTATGCTCTTTGTCTGTCCTGTGTCTGTGCCTGTGCCCTGTGTGTGTGCCCTGTGTCCCTGCCCTGTGTCCCTGTATCTATGCTCTTTGTCTGTGCCCGTGCCCTGTGTGTGTGCCCTGTGTCCATGCCCTGTGTCCCTGTATCTATGCTCTTTGTCTGTCCTGTGTCTGTGCCCGTGCCCTGTGTGTGTGCCCTATGTCCCTGCCCTGTGTCCCTGTATCTATGTTCTTTGTCTGTCCTGTGTCTGTGCCCGTGCCCTGTGTGTGTGCCCTGTGTCCCTGCCCTGTGTCCCTGTATCTATGCTCTTTGTCTGTCCTGTGTCTGTGCCCGTGCCCTGTGTGTGTGCCCTGTGTCCCTGCCCTGTGTCCCTGTATCTATGCTCTTTGTCTGTCCTGTGTCTGTGCCCGTGCCCTGTGTGTGTGCCCTATGTCCCTGCCCTGTGTCCCTGTATCTATGTTCTTTGTCTGTCCTGTGTCTGTGCCCGTGCCCTGTGTGTGTGCCCTGTGTCCCTGCCCTGTGTCCCTGTATCTATGCTCTTTGTCTGTCCTGTGTCTGTGCCCGTGCCCTGTATCCATGCCCTGTGTGCCCTGTGTGTGTGCCCTGTGTGCCCTGTGTATGTGCCCTGTATCCATGCCCTGTGTGTGTGCCTTGTATCCATGCCCTGTGTGTGTGCCCTGTATCCATGCCCTGTGTGCCCGTGTCCATGCCTTGTGTGCCCTGTGTCTGTGCCCTGTATCCATGCCCTGTGTGCCCTGTATCCATGCCTTGTGTGCCCTGTGTCTGTGCCCTGTATCCATGCCCTGTGTGCCCTGTATCCATGCCCTGTGTGCCCTGTGTCCATGCCTTGTGTGCCCTGTGTCTGTGCCCTGTATCCATGCCCTGTGTGTGTGCCCTGTATCCATGCCCTGTGTCCTCGCCCTGTGTGTGTGCCCTGTATCCATGCCCTGTGTCCTCGCCCTGTGTACCCTGTATCTGTGCCCTGTATCCATGCCCTGTGTCTGTGCCCTGTATCCATGCCCTGTATCTGTGCCCTGTATCCATGCCCTGTGTGTGTGCCCTGTATCTGTGCCCTGTATCCATGCCCTGTGTCCTCGCCCTGTGTGTGTGCCCTGTGTGTGTGCCCTGTATCCATGCCCTGTGCCCTCGCCCTGTGTGTGTGCCCTGTATCCATGCCCTGTGTCCTCGCCCTGTGTCCTCGCCCTGTGTGTGTGCCCTGTTTCCATGCCCTGTGTGTGTGCCCTGTATCCATGCCCTGTGTGTGTGCCCTGTATCTGTGCCCTGTATCTGTGCCCTGTATCCATGCCCTGTATCCATGCCCTGTGTCAGCTCAAAGGCTCTCTGTACAACCACTGATAAGGTGTCATAGAATATGCTAATGTGAACAAATATTTCACGTTTTGATTAGAGGCTCCTTGGACCCTTATTATCTCCCTTTATGTGGCTCTTCAGTGTTCCCTGTCTCCGACACGGTAATGTCCCCTTCCTTCAGAATCACTGATAGTTGATTTTTGGATTTCTCTTGTTGTGTAGACCATTTGGCTTAATTCCATACACTAGCAAATCGTCGTGGTTACGGGGAATGACGTAAAACGTGACCTTAATGTATCAACTCCGAGGTCGTTGGTTGGTCAGGTCCTTGAGGCAACTTTGGGATCAATACCAGAGTCCGTAGTCTGTGCCCCTCTCATCACAGTGGGCTGTGTGAGTGACACTGACTGCTCTGTTATTCACAGGGTCACTGACTTGAAATCAGTGTTGTTGTAATTAAAAGGGTCATTGACATGAAATCAGTTTCTTTGTAATTAACAGGGTCATTGACATGAAATCAGTGTTATTTGTAATTAACAGGGTCATTGACCTGAAATCAGTTTTGTTGTAATTGACACGGAAATTGACGTGAACATGCTTCATGTACAGTATTATTCAAAATATAATTTTGGGAAAAATTAAGAATGTTATGCATCTTAATGAAAAGAAAGGAAGACATTGTATATGTTGTGACTGTTTATTATGTGGATTATGGTGAAAGGACAGACACCGAGTTTGAAGATGCATCAAAAGTATTCTTCTTGTTGGCTCACTTAAATACCACAGTGCACCCCCTAAATCTTTGTTATGTCACACTTCAATAAACGAAATATCTCCTTGCCCTTATTGCAAGTTAAATGCATACATAGCAAGGCTTGAAATACTGGAATAGAGCTGAGCTGTATCTAAACATGATCGTTGTCTTGGTAATAACAGGTCATAGATAGTGGAAAGCAAGTGTTGCTGGCCAGGTTGGCTGTAGTGAGGTTGGCTGTGGTGAGGTTGGCTGTGGTGTGGTCGGCTGTGGTGAAGTTGGCTGTGGTGAAGTTGGCTGTCGTGAGGTCTGTGATTAGGTTGGCTGTGGTTAGGTTGGCTGTGGTGAGGTTGGCTGTGGTGAGGTTGGTTGTGGTGAGGTTGGTTGTGGTGAGGTTGGCTGTGGTGTGGTTGGCTGTGGTGAGGTCTGTGGTGAGGTTGGCTGTGGCGAGGTTGGTTGTGGTGAGGTTGGCTGTGGTGTGGTTGGCTGTGGTGAGGTTGTTGTGAGGTCTGTGGTGAGGTTGGCTGTGGTGAGGTTGGTTGTGGTGAGGTTGTTGTGAGGTCTGTGGTGAGGTTGGCTGTGGTGAGGTTGGTTGTGGTGAGGTTGGCTGTGGTGTGGTTGGCTGTTGTGAGGTCTGTAGTGAGGTTGGCTGTGGTGAGGTTGGTTGTGGTGAGGTTGTTGTGAGGTCTGTGGTGAGGTTGGCTGTGGTGAGGTTGGTTGTGGTGAGGTTGTTGTGAGGTCTGTGGTGAGGTTGGCTGTGGTGAGGTTGGCTGTGGTGTGTTTGGCTGTGGTGAGATTGGTTGTAGTGAAGTTGGTTGTGGTGAGGTTGGATGTGGTGAGGTTGGATGTGGTGAGGTCTGTGGTGAGCTTGGCTGTGGTGAGGTTGGTTGTGGTGAGGTTGGTTGTGGTGAGGTTGGATGTGGTGAGGTTGGCCGTAGTGAAGTTGGTTGTGATGAAGTTGGCTGTGGTGAGGTTAGTAGTGGTGAGGTTAGTAGTGGTGAGATTGGTTGTGGTGAGATTGGCTGTGGAGAGGTTCGTTGTGGTGATGTTGGTCGTGGTGAGGTTGGTTGTGGTGATGTTGGTCGTGGTGAGGTTGGCTATGGTGAGGTTGTGAGGTTGGCTGTGATGTTGTCTGTGGTGAGGTTGGCTATGGTGAGGTTGTGTCGAGGTTGTGGTGAGGTTGGCTGTGGTGAGGTTGGCTATGGTGAGGTTGTGTCGAGGTTGTGGTGAGGTTGGCTGTGGTGTATGAAGATGATACAGGATAATTGAAATGTCATGTGATGAAGGTCAAGGGGTATAGGAGAATGATAGTGCTGTCATGTCAGTGATATTAGAACTACCTCTAAAGATGAAGGTGATGATATATTGATGATATTAGTTGCAGATTCGAGAGTGTCCTTTCCATGCTTATCATAGGTTGTAGAAAATGAACTTTGAAGCTTCTATCCTGAAAGTGAATGTTAAAGATCGAATGGGGCGATCGGGTAGCTGATTGGTTAAAATATTGGCTCGTCACGCCCTAACACAATTTACTTTTTGTTGCAGGCAGAAAACCTACTTTTAGATGGCAACATGAACATCAAGATTGCAGGTGAGCTAACAAAGGACAAAAGTTTATCCTAACGTAGAAAACAGATAGCCCCATTCATGAGTGTAGAGACGCCTTTGTGAACTATCATTATATGAAAGAAAAGAAAACAGAAAAGGTCGGGGGTATATCAAGGTTCCGTCCTTCCGTCCGTCCGAAAACTTTGTCCGCACGATTTCTCTTAAACTATTCAGTGAATTCATCTCAAACTTAGTACATATAATCTGTGTCAGGGGTGCAGTCAAAAGAAAAAAAATATTTTTATTAATTTTCCATTTTTTTAATGAATTTTTCAAACCCTAACCCTATCCATCTTCTAATGAAACAGAGTGACTTCCATCAAGCATCGCACACTAGGCGGGTCGGGGGTATTAGTAAGCCAAGCTCACTTTTGCCCTTGTTGATATTTTTACAGACTGTGACCTGTCAAATTTAATGAGCATCATAGCCATTTTCATTTTGTTGAGGGGCAGTCGGGTAGCCTAGTGGTTAGAGCGTTTAATTGTAACGCCGAAGACCCGGGTTCGATTCCCGACATGGGTACAATGTGTGAAGCCTATTTCTGGTGTCCCCCGCCGTGATATTGCTGGAATATTGCTAAAAGCGGCGTTAAACCATACTCACTCACTCACTCATTTTGTTGATGTGGAGAAGAGGTAGGTAGGTTTACAGAATCACTGACAACAGGTGCTTGATTCAGTCAGTACCAGCTAGCAATAATTTACAGGATTATCTCTCAACACCGTCCCCCTTATTCCTTTCAGACTTTGGTTTTGGCAACTTTTTCAAGGCGGGCGAGCAGCTGGCGACCTGGTGTGGGAGTCCCCCTTATGCCGCCCCGGAGGTGTTCGAGGGCAAGAAGTACCTCGGACCTCAAATAGACATCTGGGTAGGTGTACCCCCACCCTGCTTCCTGGACGTAACCGAGCAAAACAAGTCCTGTTAGCCTTGCTGTACATGATATATATCCTGTGTCGGGTGGGAGGGGGGGGGGGGGGGTCGGGTAGTTTAGTGGTCAAAGCGTTCGCTCATCATGGGTCACGGGTTCGATTCCCGACATGGGTACAATGTGTGAACCCCATTTCTGGTGTCCCCTGTCGTTGCTGGAATATTGCTAAAAGAGGCGTAAAACCATAATCACTCACTCACTCACTCACTGTGTTGGGGGATTTTACAACGAGAGGCATGTATCAGCCTGATCAAGTGTCAATTTCTAAAACCCTATGTCCGTGTGGGACATTGAAGAATTGACAACATGCATGCCTTTTTAAATAATTAGCTTTGAAATAGACTGAAATATTATATTAATGAATTAAATTACACTAAACTGATATATCTAACTTGGGTATTATTCTTTAAAGAATGTTTCATTTTAATGTTCCGACCACCTGTTGTGCCTCTAGTTATATAATCATCTGTTTCTGTGTTTCAGAGTCTGGGAGTTGTGCTATATGTACTGGTCTGTGGAGCTCTACCTTTTGATGGGCCAAACCTGCAAACATTGCGTGATCGTGTGTTGTCTGGTCGGTTCCGAATCCCTTTCTTCATGTCAACAGGTTGGCATTTTATCAAAGTGTTCCTTCAATTTTTACGTACTATCTTGTCAATATCCATGTATTTAATTTGTATACTATCTGTCAATATTCCATTGGTAATCTGGGTGGCCCAGTCGTCTGTGCAGAGTCGCGTCCTTTGGGCACGCCAGAAATCTATGATTATGGGTTCGAATCCCATTTCGCCCCGATTGTGTTTCTAGGTTTGCCAGCACCATACCCGTGCTCGTGGGTTTCACCGAAGTGGTAAACGTCTGAGACCGGCATCACTTCGGGCTTTCCTCCCACATTAAGCTGACACGCCATGATATAACGGGAATACTGTTAAAAGCGGTGTTAAACCCAACTCACTCACTCACTCAAAAGTAATCTGTCAAAGATGAGTATTTAATATGTTTGTGTTCTGTCAATAGGTACTACAGTAGGGTGCCACAATTACCTGTGCAGAGTTACTTCCCTTTGTTGTAGCATGATTTGCTGATCCTTGGGTTGTATCTCAGATTGACCTGATACTGAATGATACAGTGGTTGATATCCCTCATTCACCATGCGATGGTTGTTAACACTAGGTGTTAAAATGTCCTGTTGCATTCTTTCAGAATGTGAGCATTTAATCCGACGGATGTTGGTGCTTGACCCGAGCAAACGCTTCACAATGGAACATATCAAGAACCACAGATGGATGCAACTGGACGGCGGTCAGCCCAAGCAACCGCCTCCAAGTCCCATCATCGGCTACAACGCCAAGGTCGGGGAGTTCAATGAGCAGATCCTCCGAATCATGCAAAGTCTCGGCATCGACCAGAAGAAGACGATGGAGGTAGGGAGGAGGGGGCAGGGTGATGGGGGCAGGGTGATGGGGGCAGGGTGATGGAGGCAGGGTGATGGAGGGGGCAGGGTGATGGGGGCAGGGTGATGGAGGGGGCAGGGTGTTGGAGGGGGCAGGGTGATGGAGGGGGCAGGGTGATGGGGGCAGGGTGAAGGGGGCAGGGTGAAGGGGGCAGGGTGATGGAGGTAGGGTGATGGGGGCAGGGTGATGGGGGCAGGGTGATGGGGGCAGGGTGATGGAGGTAGGGTGATGGGGGCAGGGTGATGGAGGTAGGGTGATGGAGGTAGGGTGATGGGGGCAGGGTGATGGAGGTAGGGTGATGGGGGCAGGGTGATGGAGGTAGGGAGGAGGGGACAATGTGATGGGGAGAGGCAGCGATACAAAATACCAGTTTCAGCCCACTAGTCCTTAGGATGATAACATGTAGCAAAACCCTTAAAAAGGGCAAATTTCTTGTAGTCCTTAGCATGCCTTATCTATTGGGCAGTTTGGCAAGGACAAAAGGACTAGTGGTGGGTTAGTGGGGGTTGTGTGATTTTATAGAAGAGTGATTTAGTGGGTAAGTGGGGGTTGTGTGATTTTGTAGAAGAGTGATTTGGTGGTTTAGTGGAGGGTTGTGTGATTTTGTAGAAGAGTGATTTGGTGGTTTAGTGGAAGGTTGTGTGATTTTGTAGAAGAGTGATTTTGTTGGTTAGTGGAGGGTTGTGTGATTTTGTAGAAGAGTGATTTGGTGGGTTAGTGGGGGTTGTGTGATTTTGTAGAAGATTGATTCGGTGGGTTAGTGGGGTTTGTGTGATTTTGTAGAAGAGTGATTTGGTGGGTTAGTGGGGGTTGTGTGATTTTGTAGAAGAGTGATTTGGTGGGTTAGTGGGGGTTGTGTGATTTTGTAGAAGAGTGATTTGGTAGGTTAGTGGGGGTTGTGTGATTTTATAGAGGAGTGATTTGGTGGGTTAGTGGGGGTTGGGTGATTTTGTAGAAGAGTGATTTGGTGGGTTAGTGGAGGATTGTGTGACTTTGTAGAAGAGTGATTTGGTTGGTTAGTGGGGTTTGTGTGATTTTGTAGAAGAGTGATTCGGTGATAGGTCCTACGTATGGAATCCATGTGTCCAGTGTAAGGGAGATAACTCTGCAGGTATCATCTGTTTTACAGAAGTAGAATATGACTCTACCATCGTACAACAGCCAGTGAATGTTTTTATCCACAGCATCTGTGGCAGATACAGTATTTTCTTTCTCCTCCCCAGGCTCTGCGCAATGATTCTTACGATCACTACACGGCAATCTACTATCTTCTACTTGATCGACTGAGACATCATCGCAGCAGTTACCCAACCGAGAACCGAGTCGATGCCCGCCGCCGACGCCCAAGCACGATAGCAGAACAAGCCATGATGAGGAGTAAGCCCCCCCCAGGGAGCATGCATCGTCCGTCACTGGGTAGTGTGAAGCAAGGAGTGTTCAGTAGGACCACCGACTGTGCCAGTCCGCCGGTTCAACCCCCTCAGTTATTGGCTGTTGTGAAACATCCGACCTTAGACTTTGACCTTGTTCCGCCTACTGGCATCCCTCACTGTTTACACGATATCCTTCCTCCGCCCTTCTTGAAAACAATGCAATCCGTGGCGGGTCATGTGATCACGACGTCTATTGACGAAGGCGTTGAGGTGGACATTTTAGATAGAGACTCACAGAGTGACTTACATCATCGACAATCCGTGGACGGGAACGTGATGGCCCCGGCGCTCGTGCCCAGCTGCATGTATGGAGATATAAGCAATTTACTCAGCAATAACAGTAGCACGTCTCTCAACGCGGCAGGATCGTTACAGTCTCCCTTCGCAAGTTTTGATTCCTCCTTAGAGGCCGATGTCAATTCTAGTCTCACGTCCTGTGTTCAGAGTAGTTTCAGTTCATGTGCGTACAATGCATCCATCCCTGTGTATTCTAGTGGAAGTAACTGTAGTAATGGTGGCCATGGTAACCCGAGTCTGCTGCAGGTGGGCACTCGGTGTAACAGTCCGTCGTCCACGAGCGTGGCGTCGAATCCCGGTGATACAAACATAAACACGCAAGGGGCTGATGAGCCTACTCAAGATCGGAGTCAGACCCGATCACCTGTGAATTTCAGAGAAGGGAGGCGAGCGTCTGATGGACTCGTAGCGCAGGGAATAATAGCATTCCGACAGCGTTTGCGAGAAAGTATGCGAGCGAAAGGTATGGTTGAGCTGCGGCAGGAACATCAGCAGCTCCAGAACATGTTTCAGCAACAAATCCCGGTGCCTCCCCATCCCCATTCCTTGCCCCACCGCAAGCTGTCGGCTCCCCACCACCCGTCCTTCAGACAATGGTCGCTTGATGAGCAGCCCGTGCATCCTCCAAGAAGACGTCCCCTGATGAAGCGGATGAGTTTGCCGTCGGAGAGCTTCGACATCCAGCCTCATCGCCTCCTGGCACTCAAGCAGTCCATGCAGCTGGAGCAGCAGATGGACCGAGTAGGCAGCCAGGACAACGTCCTCCATCAGGGAGGGGCAGGAGCAGGGGCAGGAGCAGGAGCAGGAGCAGGAGGAGGCTACGGGGGAATGGAGTTCCACATGACCAATAAGCCTCTTCAGCATCAGCTGATGCAACATCGACTGCAGCAGAAAAGACAGACGTTTCAGAAACATGGTCAGCTAAGCAGTCAGTTTCAGCAGCTTCACATCGACCCACAGAACATGCCGGTCATCGACTTTGGGCAAAGTGGACCGGGTCAGTCGGGGTTACAGAGCTATCAGTACCCCGAGAATCTCATCTCCCAGCCTCATCAAGACCTCGTCACCTCAACTGGCTTCTCCTCCCCCCTCCCTCTCACAACACTTGACGTCGCTACCCCCATGCCACAGGAAATTCTCAACCCCATGATTTCCCAGCCAAACGCTTCACAAGGATACTCCTCTCCCGAGGCTCAGTACCTGCCGTGGACTCCCCTCAAGCGAGCAGACGCGGCCATTTTGGCTCAGCTGGAACAAGGAACGGCACTGAAATCGAAGGAGTCCAAGTCACCTTGGATGAGATACCAGGAGACCTCAGAACAGGGGTCACAGCTGAGTCATGACAACAGCATGACCTCCATTTCAACGGATCCTCCTGTTTCTAAAGCAGACTTTGACCATCTGTTCAAGGCAATGCCTGTCCCTGCTATTCACGAATCGTCTAAAATGTCCTCCTTTCACATGCATCGGAATGTGAATGATAGCCCGGTCTACGCAAGTCCTTCTCTAATCGGTGCAGGCACAGTTGTCGGGGAACGTGTTAACGATGGAATCGAACATGCAACCCAAGCCTACTTCGGACCACTGACTGAAGAACACATGGACTTGACCTGATCCTCCTCTCTCAACGAATGGTGTCTTAGTGCTATTATGTATCGTCAAAGCAAGCATGTTACGGCGTGTTTAGTCAGATTGCAAATCATATCATAATGTGTTGTGCTACACCCTCTACAGCATGGCAGTTGAACATGGTGGACGTCAAAGTGTGCTACTAGCCATATACGTCACCTGGATTTTTCTGTGAAAATGTTTCAATAGTGGGACAACTTTGAAGCTTCTGTGCAGAAAGACAGCAAGGGATGCTGAGGTAATTCAGGACAATCATCATCGACACAATCACTGTTGCCTTTAGTGGTACCTAGCATCGGAGCAGATGCGGGAGACTGGTACTGTTGATGCGTCACCATGGTTACCACTGTTGAGAGATACTAAGTCAATGGGATAAAGGTTCATAATGAATTTCTTAGAATCGGAGAGTAATTTCAATATAAATTTGACATGCCAAGTTCAAAATTATTATTGAGTGGTAGTCAGACATTTTGACATTGAGAAAAGGGCTGTTGTTGTTAAGTGTTTTTTTTGTTATAATGAGGTTGTTTGTTTTAAAGAGGTGAATTGTCTCTGGATGTGTTTCTAGTAAGCAGGCTGAGACCAGGTTGTTGGTTAAACACCGACACTCTTTCCACAGACCACACAGACTGCAGGTGGATACCAGGGATTATTTAAGCTGACAGGTCCATATTCAGGCCCCCAAGGCTCCAACAAATAGCAGTCAAAATTCCTAAATTTGAATTTCAAATTTTCGGATTCATATCATTATAGATACAACCTTTTACGAGGCCTTGAGGAGGTAACTTGCATTTCACTGATACAACAGGAGGATTTGATACCTGGTTCCACATTATTGCCTAATGCAATGATAAATGCAATGTTTAATCTCTCAATGTAGGAAAATAAGTTTTAAAAGTCCCTATTTTGAACAAAATATTTTTGTTCTCCAAATTTGCCTGCCATGGTCACTTTTTGAGTCCAAGATAAATTCCTGTTTCTGGTAATGAAGACGATTCACTTGAAGACAAATCACCTTATAGTTGTAGAACAGCATTTCACGTACATATTGCATAGCCCACTGTGCAAGCCTCTCATCAGATGAGGGGATGGACGAAGAGGACCAGGTGGTGTTGAGATCGGGCAATGAAACTAGACGGGGATGCCTTGCACTCCTGCCTTCCACAGCTGGGGGGAGTACAAATACAAGTAGGAGTAAAGCTACTGTGTCATTTATTTGTCATTGACATTATTGTCGTATCTTTGTGATAATTGTTGCCATGATGAAAGTTGTAAATCACAATGTGAACACTTCAGCTTGGCTGTGGACCAGGGGAGATAACTCTTCATGTTTTAGTAAACAGATACTCCTGGGCCACTGATTTGTCACGATGTCCTACTTATTCGAGTCGTCGATATTCATCTGAAGTGTATATTTAATTTAGAAGCTAAAAAAACTCTGGCCAAAATAAAATTCTATGTGTTCGTTAGAAAATTTGAATCAAACGTTGCTGTGGACATGTTTGGACTGACCTTGACCTTGTGTGAGCTGGTTCGCCGGTTGATGGAGACTCCTCATGAAGGGCTGAATCCTGCAGGTTCGGGATGGCTATCTCATTCTCTCATCAATATTCTTTCTTCATTTTCACATTCGATTTTCACTGTACCTGGTCATATACGCTTGGTCATGGAAAAGTTGAGAATATTTTCACCTTGGATTTTCTATATCTGGTCACGGTAGGGTTGGGGACGGGTTCACCTGAGAATTTCTATATCTGGTCAAGGTAGAGTAGGGGATGTGTTCACCTGAGATTTTCTATATCTGGTCAAGGTAGGGTCGGGACATGTTCACCTGATATTTTCTATATCTGGTCAAGGTAGAGTAGGGGATGTGTTCACCTGAGAATTTCTGTATCTGGTCAAGGTAGGGTCGGGGACGGGTTCACCTGAGAATTTCTATATCTGGTCAAGGTAGGGTCGGGGACATGTTCACCTGAGATTTTCTATATCTGGTCAAGGTAGGGTCGGGGACATGTTCACCTGAGATTTTCTATATCTGGTCAAGGTAGGGTCGGGGACGGGTTCACCTGAGAATTTCTATATCTGGTCAAGGTAGGGTCGGGGACGGGTTCACCTGAGAATTTCTATATCTGGTCATGCTCAGATGGAATATTTTCATCCCGGGAATCGGTTGATCCTGTTAGGGAAAAGTTTCTATTTTCCTATTACATATAATGCCCCCTTGTTGATTGTGTCCACCAGAAAGACCTGCGTACCCGGGACAATCCTCTGTGAACGTGAATAAAGAAGTTCAAGTGCTCAGTCACTAAAGTACTCACGGAAATGAAAAAAACCTGTTTTTCACAATTTAAAAATCGACACAAAGTGTTACGTAGCTGTAAATACGAAATAACAAAACAACTCGAAAAGTACTAGTCTGGATTTGCTAGTTTGATCTCAGTTAACAATACAAAATGTACTTTACAGGAGGTAATTTGTCAGCACTTTCAACATTCAAAAATATAACTAAGTCCAAATTGACATAGCAGAAACAGACTATAGGCATTTTGCACCTGTTCTCACCTGTCGTCAAGGTGTCATAGGTCACCTTGATCTACTTACACCTGGTTATGCCCTGTTTCACAATAGTCTATTTTATTCACATTTTTACACACTTTTACGTGTAAAAAGGCATAAAAACATTTGATACGCTGTATTTGTGCCACGGCCCAATTAGTACTAATTTAGTTGTTTGAATATTTACATATTTTGTATATTAACTGCATTTATTTAAGATCTGAGGTCGAAAAAACAGGTTTTTTTCATTTCCGTGAGTACTTTAGTCTACACTTGGTTGTTGGAAGTGGTGACCAACACAACACTCCTGTCAAGTTATCAGTTTTCCCAGGAGTGTGTTCAAGTCAAATATTGTAACTACTTATGACCTAGTGGTGTTTCCTAATCAAATAACTGCATTTTCACAGATTGTGTCAGAAATATCTTCGTTAACCTCCTAATCTCATGATGCTGAGGTAGCTGGTCTCTGATCACAATGTCGCAGGACCTGACAAATCTGTTCCTGCCTAAGACAAGCCTAGAAATGTAACATCATACCATTCAACTAATGTTAAGGACTGCATCTTCCCAAGGCAAGAGAGTCCACTAGCCATTTTATCAAGGTCTTGTTTCCATCCTTGCCACATCAAACCCTGGACCCGTGAAGAACCGGGGTAGAATAGGTCTTCAGCAAGCCATGCTTGCCGTAAAAGGCGACTATACCACAGGATCGGGTGGTCAGGCTCGCTGATTTGGTTGATGCATGTCATCGTGTCCCAATTGCATGGATCGATACTCATGATGTCAATCACTGGATTGTTTATTATTATTTACTGGACTCGATTATTTACAGACTGCCATCATATAGCTTGAATATTGCTAAGTACGGCGTTAAACAAAAAAACAACCCCAAAACGAAGACATCAAGCCCACTTTCCTGTGCTAAATATGATTGGATGATCGCACATATCGATAGTCCAATCAGAGAACATTTCACAAAATCAACATCCACGACTGGTACACCTTCGTATGAAAGGGATTTGCCACTGCCTGTCTTTGTTGTCACAAACTGGTCTTTTCATCTTTTAACCCCCATCAGCCTATTTTTTGTGTGTCAGGGATGAAATCGCGAATGTTTTCATTATCTGACAGACTAGGTGGTCGTATATGGTAGTCGCTATACAAGATAAAAACAGCGATCCAGCGTTAGAAATTGGCACTGGTCCTGTAGTCCTTACCAAACTGCCCAATAGTAAAGGTATCATAAGGACTAGTAGAAATTGGCCCATTTTAAGGGTTTTGCTATATGTTATCATTATAAGGACTAGTGGACAAAAACTGTTAGTTTCTAACCCTGCGATCTGATTTGATATCCCCTTTTCATTACAAGGGCACAACTTGTGATCTACATGAGTGGCGCCAGGGTCGAGCCAAGAAAAGTGGCCTTGATGTGTCAAGGGTAGAAACTAGGCTTTGATACAGGCTAGACACTCTTCCCCCGGGAAGATGTTGCTACAATGGATGGATGGATTGTTCTGTGCTTCAGTACGAGGTTGACATTGTTTTGTTTGTTAATGCTGATTGAATGTAATGTGTACATCATATGTGTTGACACTATATTTTTGTTATTGGATTTTTCCAATGCTATGACAGCCAAAAGAAGCAGGCAGTATACACGTGTAGTCACTTCCTGACAGTTTACAGGTGTTCATACAGGAAGCATGCTACGTTATGCAACAGTCGGTAATTTGTGTGTCTTTTGTCATGAAATCTAAAACAAGCATATGGTCTGTGTAGCGTGTTGATTTTTAGGCTAACGATTGTTTCTCAGGCAACGATTTCCTAAACAGTAGATGTTTACATTTTTGGTCTAAATAGCAAAAATGGTGTTCTTTCCTGCCGAGTTGTGTTACCATGGTTACCAAAGCAGGTCAGCCTGAGAACTAAGCGCATTTGAGCCTTCACTGAACTAGTGTTAATCAAAACCTACGAGCACCTTGCAGAGAATGTCCACTACCATATCAAAAGTCATGATATATGACAGCTGTACAATCAAACAGGGTTTACAAAGTAAAGCAGAGGTGATATATTTATGAATACAGCAGTATTTATAATTGTATGTGTAGATTGTATATTTATGTTTAGGTTGCCATGATGATGGCCATTGTATATTATTGCCGAGAACCTTTGGGGGTTGTCTCATAAATTGTCATGTCATTTTACGTGGAGTTTTACGGTTACCTACAAGCTTACAATGGCAATGGTGTGGAAGTTCTAGTGTGTTCATTTGTACATGGACGGCTCTCCACAGCTTGTCTTGTCGTAGGATACGTGGCTGTTTAGCGTCCAGGTGAGAAAGCCAGACCTGTTGGTTTGGGTCTTAGAACCGAAAACTTCATTTCATATTTGAGATAGCCCCTGAACAATTGAGACGATTAAACACACTAATTGTGCCCAATTCATATGTACATGCTGCAATTAGATCAAACTATATTTTTTGAATTAGCTGCGTCAGCTTGTATGATCAGTGTATAGTGTTCTGTGTATTTGTGTGAAGTTTTCAGAAATGTATGCAAAACATAATCACTAGTTCACGTGGTGATAAATGTGCCTCAATCTGTCCATGTCTGTTTCTTAGAACAAGGGACTGTATTCAACGGTACCTTACACCGTGGTACAATATGTGTATCATGATACAGTCTTACAATGTGTGTACCATGGTACAATATGTGTATCATGATACAGTGGTACAATACTTGTATCACAATAGTGTTGCAATGCTTGTACCATGGTACAATAAGTGTACAATGCATGTACCATGGTACAATAAGTGTACAATGCATGTACCATGGTACAATAAGTGTACAATGCTTGTAACATGGTACAATATGTGTACAATGCATGTACCATGGTACAATAAGTGTACAATGCATGTACCATGGTACAATAAGTGTACAATGCATGTACCATGGTATAATATATGCATCATGATACAGTGGTGCAGAACATGTATCACAATATGTGTACCATACATGTATGATGTACCATGGTACAATATATGCATCATGATACAGTGGTGCAGAACATGTATTGCAATATGTGTACCATACATGTATGATGTACCATGGTACAATATATGCATCATGATACAGTGGTACAGAACATGTATCGCAAAATATGTGTACAATACATGTACCATGGTACAATGTATATTGTGACAGTGTTACAGAACATGTACCATGGTACACTGTTTTAATACAGTGTTGCGTTTCATGGTACAATGTATATTGTGACAGTGTTACAATACATGTACCATGGTACACTGTTTTAATACAGTGTTGCGTATCATGGTACAAACTGTATTGTTGCAATGTATTTGTTACAAGTGCCAAGTTAAACCAGAAGTCTGAAGTTTATTATCAACAAAACTTCTTGAAAAGCCAACCAAGGTATAAGGGAAACCTTTTAGATTTTCATCCAATCTATATTTAAGTTAAGAAGGTGGATGATTCTAATATCATATATAAGAGAGGTTGTATTGTATACACATCGCCCAAACTTAAGCATAGTTGGATTTTCATTCACCACAAGGACATCAACATTTCTACAGTCATCAGAGACAAATGCACGTGCAAAGAAAAGTTAATAATGAAAAATTAACCAATATTTAGTGTTTGTTTGTTTGTTTGTTTATTTGTTTGTTGTTTAACGCCACACTCAGCAATAGTTCAGCTATATGATGGCAGTCTGTAAATAATCGAGTCTGGATCAGACAATCCAGTGATTAACATCATGAGCATCGTTCCATGATCCAATGTTCAATCATACCAGAACACCTTGTAACAGAAAAGTGTCAATTCACAGGGCCTGTGTGGACACCCTTCAAACTGCTACACTTGTCTAGTCTTGTCATGACCAAGACTTGCATGCCATATCAAGAAAACACAAATGTTTTGTTTTTGTTAAATACCAGTAGATCTCCATTGCATACAATGTGCAATTGTTGCTGTTGATTTGTCTCAAAAACATCCACCTATGCTTACGTTTGGTTGTGAGTATTATACAGTGAAGTTGTGTTTTGGATAATTTTAGAGTAATTTCACATTGAATATTTGGTGTGATATGTATGATGGACGCCACAATCAAGAAAACACTCAGAAATTACTGTTGATTTGATTGCTGCCAGTTTTAAGATACAATATGCTGACCTGATGGTATTGATACAGGCCACACGTACTGACAAGGTGGAGAATGTTCCACAGTGAGTCTGACTTTAACTTGAGGTCAAACTCTTAACAGTGGTCTTGCAGCATAAGGGGGCCGCGATTCGCTGTGCAGAGCTGCGCCCCTTGGGCACGCCAGAAACCTATGATTGTGGGTTCGAATCCCGGTTCGCCCCGATTATGTTTCTAGGTTTGTCAGCACCATGCCCGTGCTCGTGGGTTTCACCGAAGTGGTAAACGTCTAAGATCTGCATCACTTCGGGCTTTCCTCCACATCAAGCTGACACGCCGCGATATAACTGGAATACTGTTAAAAGCGGCGTTAAACCCAACACACTCACTCACTCACTCTTGCAGCATAATATCGAAATCATTCTAATGTGGATAAAGATCTAGAAACTACAGGCTGATGTCATAATATGAACAAGTTGAGATGGTTTTGATAAGTACATGATATACATAGTCGGATGGTTGACTCTGAGGATTTCAACCATCGCCATGCATTCAACATGGTCATCTAGACCTTGCTCCATCTTGAACATGAATGGGTAAACAAACCACCTCTCTTTGGAATTAAAAAACAGTTATAACAACATGACTGTCTCTTGAGGAAAATACAATCAAAACAACTTGGCTGTCTCTTACGATAAGTAATTATAACGGAAAGGCAG